AATGTGACATTTTCTGATAACTTTTTACTGTAGAAACCTAAAACTGAAAACTCGAATCGGTGAAATGAACGAGGCCGAAATCAATCCTAAAATAGACATGATGATGATAATAGGATGATAATCGCGTCAAATTCATTATTATAGCATGCATATAAGAAATAGTGCCATTATAAGTTACATATATAACAATTTCTTCTCCTGAGTTTCTATAGGAATTTCCACCAAGTTTAACCATGTTAATTGAAATTGACATTGAGAGTTCCTAAAAAAAGGAATTCCATTGAGTTCAAATTATGATTTTGTCTTTAATATAAATTTGCATATTAATTCATTTGACTAGTTTGATCTGGACCTAACATTGCAAGTTTTATATTTTTCAAATAAATTAAAAGGTAAGTATAGCCAATCAAATATTTGTTGAGAGTATATTCATTTTTGGCGAGCTGCATTCATAAGATGTCAATTATTTATAAGAAGCTTATGTGAGAGATTACAGTTGTTACGTAAAGAACAAATTATGCATAAATAATAACCGATATCACTTTTGCACGTACGTAATATGTACCTATGTATGTATATAGTTACGAATTAACCGATATCTATTAGATATTAAAAAAAAAAAGAAAAGATGGAGATTTTTATTATAGCAAACTTAGCAGTCGCATGATTTTGAACGATTCAAATTTTACAGGATGTGTCTCACACCTTGTTATTCATGCGCTTTTCAATTTTCATTGTTTATTTGTTGAGTGTATATATACATAAACAACAAACACACCCCAGAAAAAAGTACATAATTTATCATGATTTTATTTAAATCTATTATTTGTGGTCTTTTATTTTCTTTTTATCAATTGAATGATAATTATTTTAATTTATTTAAATCTATTATTTGTGGCTTTTTATTTTTTTATTAATTGAATGACAATAATTTACTTTTAAATGATGTAATATAAATAATACTTTTTATCATTTTGAGTGGTATTTGTGGTTTTTTCCCATCTACATTTTGCATTTTGTAAACCGTACAATACCATGTATAGATTGAGACGCGTGAATATTGTTTTTGGGCTAACAAGTATAAGATAAACATGATTACGTACACGAGTAGACATGATGACAAAGTTTATATATGCATATAAATACACATACGTACTAATTAAAGCTCTTCATAAACCCGCAGGTCCAACCCACCCCACCCCAATTCAATTCAAAAAATGTAATTTTTAGTATTAAATTTTTTTGGCCCATTCAATGTCTAGCCTGAAGTTTTAGAGCGGAGTGTGAGTTGGGTTTATAATGGCCCGCACACCCTAACTCAATCCGCGCTCTAACTTGCCTCATCTAATATCTAACCCTAAGCAGGTAACTCATTTCTACTATCTAGTTTCTTCATGTTTGAATTAAGCCTCTATGTTTGCTTTATGTTAAGCCTAATTTATGAGTGTGGACTAATTTTTGTTTGTTTTATGTTTGATGTTGAATGGACTACTTTGCTTCATGTTTGATGTTGGATTAAACTTTGAATTTCTATTGTTTGAATGTTGGAGTTATTATTTCTATTTGATAATGAACTTTGAATATTGGATTGAACTTTGAGTTTTTGATTCTTTGAATGTTGAAACTGACCACTTAACCCACCCCGCACTACCCTAACCCAACCCAAACATCATTAGGTTGTGAAATTTTTCTAACATCGTTTGAACTAAATATGTACAACTCACACCCTTTCAAATGGGAGAAGAAAAAACTCTACCTGTACCAACTCAACTTATGAACACCCTTAGTACTAATATACCAAGTCACATTTGTCATAGTACGGAGGAACTTAAATAATATATTCCAGGCATATTGTTTTTTTTTTTTTTTCTTTATTCTAGACATATTGTGGTAATGAACATATACTTAAAATATTATATATCTTTCTCATTGAAGATAACGTTACCATTATTTTCAAGATCGCTTTGATAAGCTATTTGAGATGTGGAGTGGCACTAACTCCAAAATAATATGAAATAATTAAATCAACTATTAAAATTTGTAAAGTAAACACAATTGCTGACATTATGAACCTTTTGCATAGAATCATCGACATCGACCAGAAACTTAGGACCCGTTTGTTTCGCGAATTCGAGTTGAGATGTAATATTTTCTGAGAGTTTTTAACTGTAGTAAAAAAAAGTTAAATGTGACATTTTTTGAGAGCTTTTAATTATAAAAATCTAAAACTGAAAATTTAAATCGGTGAAATGAACGAAGCTTTAGCATCATTTGTAACATCTAAAACTATTATTCATTATGTACATTGCTAATTATTTTAAAAGATTTTTAACACAATTGTCCCCTAAATTTATCGTGATTGATTAAATTGTCATCTAAACTTTTAATTTTGACAATTAAACCCCTTAAATTTATAAAATTATTGTCATGTGCACAGTTACTAAATTTGTTCATGTGTTTTTTATTAGATTTAATGGATTAGAAGTTGAGAAATTGAAATATTTGTGTTATATTTGAATTGAGATGAATTTTTTTGTTGAACGTGTTTTTTCAATACTAATTTAACACAATCATTATCAAAATGGGGTATATTATGATAACTTTATAAGTTAAGAGGACAACTTGTCAAAATTAAAAGTTTAGACAATAAATTGTTAAAACCATACAAATTTATTAGATAAACATGTAAAATATCTTATTTTAAAAAGTCACTTTTATCTTTAAGATTTTTTCTCTAAAAACGTTTCAAAATTAGGAATTACTATTTGGATCATGAGTTATAATGAGAAATCTGAGTTATAATATACAACTCTCATATCGATTGATAATTGCGTTACTTCTTTAGGCCTCGTTCATTTCACCGATTTGAGTTTTACTACAGTAAAAAGCTTTCAGAAACAATCACATCTAACTTTTTTGCTACAGTAAAAAGCTCTCACATAATCAAATCTCAACTCAAATTAAAAACACGAATCAGCGAATTAAAGGAGACCTTAATTTACCACATAGTTTTTTAAGTTTTCTTAATTTTTTTTTATTGACATCAACGATTAACGACATCTAGAGTTAGAATTTCTTTAGCTTTAATTTTTTTTGAAAAACAATTTATAACTATAAGATAGGAAAAAATTATTGCATTGCTTCTTTAACTCTTAACTATCCAATTAAATAAATTAAATACAACGTAATAATTCAACGAAATTTAATAAAAATACAACAGTTAAAAACCATATTATACCATTAGAGTAATCTTTCCAATCTAACAGCTGACACTTCTTTTCTACATTTAATAATGGACATGAACATAAAAAACACTTATGACATGTTTACCTATGCGTAATCGGAATGGACATGAATCAGAGTGGATAGGATTCAGAATGAGAAATCAGAGTCAGAATAAATTATTTATTTAGTGACAGAATTGGAATCGGAGTCACTCCAAATCTCATTCATGCGTTTACTTACACCTAAAATTTAGAATGAATTAATATAAAAGTACTAATATACCCTTTAAGTCAATTTTATATTTTTAATTTAAAAAATAAATTGTGTACTTATTATTTTAAAATTAATTGTAATTAAAATATTTAGAGTCCGTTTGGTACCTAAATTTGTTCCCTGATTCGAATCATGGTTCGTGGTTCGCTACAGTATTTTTTCTTACAAAAAATACACGTAAATAAAAAATGATTATAATCACATGATTTGAATCCATGAACCAAACATCACATTAGTATAATAATAGAGTAATAAAATAATAAATATAAATTCTACAATTATTTAAACATATAAAAATAAATTTTCAAAATTTAAATAAAATAAATAAAAATAAAAAATAGTGCTAAAAATTAAAATATATTATTAGTTTATTAAACAAAATAAAATACATTTTTATTATATTAAAGAACAATAATTAACCTAGTATTATAATATTAGGTAAATAAAATAATAAATATAGGTTGTACTTATTATTTTTTAAATTTATTTTAAATTTTAAATTTATAAATAAATTAGGTATATGATAATAATTTAATATTAATATTAGAAATGAGAGTCTCATTCCTAAGAGGGGCATGAGAGTATAAATCTTATTCTTAAATTTTAAATTTGAGTAAAGCCCACAAATCATACTCAATTCTAAAATAAAAGAAAGTAAATAAACATAAATTTACTCACATTACCCATTCTTCAATCCTAATAAATAAACAATAGAATTTCCCGAAAGACCCTAAAAGATAATCCGCTAAAATGCCAAAAGGGTAAGCATTTTGAAGGAGAGGAATATCTTGGACTGTGAGTGCAAAGTTGACAATAATAAAATTTAAAAAAAAAATAACTTGGGTCCTACGTGAAATTTTGCACCTTATTATTTATTAGAATAATTTACACTGATAGTCTTTAAACTGTTAAATAAGTGACATTTTGATCTCTATTTTTTTAATTTTAATGGAACCATCTCAAAACTCTTAAAATGTTGACAATTAAGGGGATGTTTGGTACCTAGATTCGTTCCCTGATTCGAATCATGGTTTGTGGTTCGCTACAGTATTTTCTCTCACAAAAAATACACGTAAATTGAAAATAATTCTAATCCATGAACCAAACGTCTCCTAAGTCTTTTCCGTCAATTTTTGGACGGAACAATTAACGTCACCGTAAAGTGCACTATATGCAGTCGAAAATACTAAAACACCCCTGTTGAAATTTTTTAATTCAAATTTTTCGGTAAATAATAAATCATTGTTATTTTACTAAATTATCCTTTTTTTTAATCACATGCCGTACATGTCATTCATTCTGTCAAAAAGTTAACGAGAATTGACGGGAAGGGCTTAATTGCAAATGTTTTGAGAATTTAGAGATGATTTTATAAAAATTAAAAAAATAAAGGGTAAAGTGTCACTTATCAAAGAGTTTAAGGATCATCAGTGTAAATTACCCATTTTATTATTATTACTAATACTATCCCCCTTCCTTCACTCGTTCATGTCTGAACAGTTTTTGCTTATCTCAGCTGTAAGAAACAAGCTCTCTCTTTCTCTCTCTCTCTAAACATTTAGAAAGAAAAAAAAAAAAGAAAATCCTCTCACGCAAACAAGGGAAGAAAAGGAAAACCAAATTTTCGCAAAGAAAAACAAAAATCATGTCTTCCCCAAGCAAACGCAGAGAGATGGACCTGATGAAACTGTTAATCCTCTTAACTTGATTGTCTTGTTCAGCTCAGATTTTTCTGGATGTTTTCTTTTGATTATATTGTTTTTTCTTTTCTTTTTTTGGTCAGGATGATGAGTGATTACAAGGTGGAGATGATCAACGATGGCATGCAAGAATTCTATGTAGATTTCCATGGACCCAGTGACAGTAAATCCTTATGTACCCATGTCTTTATTTTCCATTTCCAGTGCTTCTGCAAATAATTTCTTAGTTTTCTTGACATGGTTTCTCTGTTGAGTCTTCTTGATTTTAGCTATTTTGATAATATATGTTATTAGATGCTCTGGATTTTTAGCTCAGAACTTGCAATTTAGCAAAGTATATATTTACCTTTTCATATGTTTTTTTTTTAATTATTCGAAGTTTTGTTCCGAAAGAATAACTAGTTTTCGGCTGGCCTTTTGATTTGATATTGCATTTTCTGAGGTTATTTAGTCCAAATCTGAAGGACCCTTTTCCTCTAGAAATACTCTCACCAAACTTTTCTCTTTTTTCTTTTTCATTTTTTTTTTTGGCCCTTAAATTAATTTTCCTGACACCATGCTGGGCTTTTCTTTCTTTTTTTTTTTTTTCGGTGGTGAAGGTCCTTATCATGGAGGTGTATGGAGGATAAGAGTTGAACTCCCAGATGCTTATCCCTATAAATCTCCTTCAATAGGATTTGTCAATAAGATCTACCACCCAAATGTTGATGAGATGTGAGTATTAAATCTTAATATCTTTTTCCTTTTTTTCCTCTCTGAAATGGGAAGTTTTCCACAAAAAGGAATAGTTTGCAATTCTAATTATATTTGGGTGCAAATCTAATTTCAGGTCAGGTTCTGTTTGTTTGGATGTTATCAATCAGACTTGGAGTCCCATGTTTGGTAAATAAATGTTTACATTTTCTTGTCTTAAAATTTAGTCTGAAGCTCTTTTCTTGATTTTACATTTTAGAGTTGAGAGTTATTGGTCTTATTTGTGTACATTCATGTTTTGAAGATCTGGTAAATGTGTTTGAAGTCTTCCTGCCGCAACTTCTTCTCTATCCCAACCCATCAGACCCTCTGAATGGAGAAGCTGCGGCTCTGATGATGCGCGATCGAGCTGCTTATGAACAAAGAGTTAAAGGTATTGATCCTTTACCAAAGTCCTAGTTTATTCATTATGCATAGTCTCAGTAAACTCGTAGCCAAAAAGTATCAAATTTCTCTTGAACATTTCCATACTTTTCTACTTTCTCTTTACCCTTTATTCTCTAATTTCAGTAAGTTTCTAACTTCATGTTATTGATAGTTTGTAATACATGTTTGTTGTGGGCAACTAGTGAATGACATATTGGTGTTAAGAAATGAAATTATACATTCTGCTGCTTTTATGGACATAAACTGGCGAAGTTTAATCTCTTTATAAACTTGAGTATGAATTTAGACTCAAATTGTATGATGCCTTCTCGTTTTGAATCTATAAATGCAGATCAAGAGAGGTTAGACATTGAGTGCAGACCTAGGATATAGGATCCTTCTTGAATTATTCTGTCCTATACATTCCTTTGTTTCTTTGAAAGGAGAAGTCATTTCAAACAAATTAACTAGTTTATAACTTATTTAGAGTAAACTCTTGACAAAAACGTGAAAAGGTTTGTTATGGAAGTGCTTATACTTTCAAACTGGGAAGGTGTCTTGACAATAATGTGATGTTGTCAATTTGTATGGTTCGGTTTAACCGAGTCCAATCCTGTAACCATGTTGCTAGCTTTGGCCCTTCTGGTTACAACTCCAATGTATTTTCTCAGAAGCAGCATTTAATTTTGGCAATAAGATATTATGATTTAGGTTGGTGGTGCAATAGGGCAGGTCTGTATTTGTTTATTACGTTCCTGGGATTATGCTACGTGTTTTTGGATAATTGTCAATGTCCTAACTTGAGTTATTCTTTTGTAAGTTTGTAATATGTTTGAAATGCAGAACATGTCATTGAAAAAATTATATATCTTTTGAAAACAAAATCACTTCATTGGTTTAAAGAAAGCATAATTCCATATGGTGGCATCATAGAAGTTATGAACTGAAAATCATGTTCATGAACAAAATACGCTGGATTGCTTCATCTTCAAGTGTTCCTTAAGAATCCTATTAATGTGTCGTTTTTTGCTTGGCATCCTCCACAACTTCGAACATAGTTTAGCTAGTTGCTTGTGTTGACCTTATCATCCAGAATACCGTGAGAAGTACGCCAAACCAGAAGACATAGGAGCCACGGCAAAGGACAAATCAAGTGATGAGGAACTGAGCGAAGATGAATCAGATTCTGGCGATGAGCAAGTCGTAGGCCAAGCAGATCCCTAGAGATGTTCCTGCGATCAGTCCTCTGTAAACTCTCTATCTGTACATGATGTTTTAGCTGTCTCAAAATTCATCCCCAACTCCAACAAAGACTGTATATTGGATGGGGAAAGAATTTCCCCAGCCTTCATTTCCCTTCCATTCTTGTAAATAATGTATTGTTGGTTTCATGTTGCTATCTTTGGTATGCTTAATCAATTGGACTCCAGCAGATAAATCCTGCTTTTCTGTAGGAATATTTTACGCGAACTTTTAGATAAACAAGCCTCCATTTTGGCACGTCATGATAAATTGCATGTGTATTAACTAATTATAGCATAAAATGGATTTCACCATGGTGTGCCAACTGAATACTTTTGGCATTACGGTTGGCCGAGGCTTTTCTTGTTAAGGCAGGAAAAGTCATCTCATATAGTGAAAGCTTGAATCAAAGTATCAACTTATCATTTTGAAACGCTTATTGTAAACTTGTTAGCAAAGTATCTTTACATTTTCTTGGAGGGGGACTTCTACTGTAGGGCACCCCATCTCACGCATCAAATGCCCAGTTTTTTTTTTTTTTTTTTTTTTTTTTTTTTTTTTTTTTTTTTTGAAAAAGGGGATTGTTGGTGTCATTTGAACCCTTATTCCCTTCCTCATTTTGGAAATCTCGGGTCTACCAATTAAACGAAAAGAACCTAATTCATTTCTAGTCAAATGGAAGGATTTAATTTTCACTCGTAACATCGCACATTCAACATTAAACAAAAAGCTAGACAGGAATTGGATATTGTGAGATGATTCTTTAATACATTCTTACTTTTGCACTCATCAATGGATAGTTCTTATATACTTATAATATAGAGTTGGATAATGTAAGAGGATTCTTTAAACATTACAGTTATATCGTTGTGCTTAGTGTTTATAAATGCTGCTTAATTTAAAATTTAGAAAATTAAAAAGTATCCCATCAGTTTAAGCTAAACTCATGTTTTTCCCATTTTTTTATAATAAAAAAGTATTTATAGTGTTTTTGAAATTGTCCCGAAATATCAACAATCAAAATCTTGAAAATTAATAACTAAGATTAAATTTAGAGAGAAAATTAAGAATTTCAATAAAATATATCTATTTGAAAAAATTCTAAAATTCGTTAAGTCAGATTAGTTTAGCCTCAAATAGGATCTTTCATGCTCACTTTCAACACATATTTGATCATATTTAGGGCCCGTTCACTTCGCTGATTCGAGTTTAGAATTCAAGTTTTTATACAGTAAAAAACTCTCACAAACAATCACATCTAACTTTTTTACTACAGTAAAAAGTTCTCACATAAAGTCACATCTCAACTCGAATTCTAAACTCGAATCAGCGAAGTGAACGGGGCCTTAGAGTTTTCAAATTGGTTCGGCCCCACACCAGAGCCTACTCCATAGACGTCTGAACACATTGGTGCTTTTTTATATTTAATTTTAAGTTTTAATTTGTTAAAAAATAAATAATTAATGGCTGCAATGATATCTAAATAATAATTATTGAGAATGCTTTTTGTATATCACAAATTTTTACCAGTTAAAGGGATTTTACTTTTTTGAAAGATGAAGGGGATAATTCTGAAATAGTCTTATATGTACTTGTTGGATTAATAAAATATAGGGACAAAAGTTAAATTTGGCTAAAACTTGGGGGCATTTTTTGAGTTTTGTTTTTAAATCTTATGGCTGCAGTCCAGTGACCTTATAAATGGGGTGTCGTATTTTAGAATTCCCTTGAAGGAAAAAACTTCACATTTTTTTTAACCAGAAATTCACCTTCAAAGCATTTCAAAAAAGATTATTTCTTCTCTTGTTGGTTGTTTTAACTTTTTCTTTTTTGTGGAAGCAAAAAGTACAGTTTGGGAGAAAGAAAATGGTGTCCATCATATGTCAGTAAACTTTGTGCCTACTTGTGTACAGTTCATACGTGTTTATTTATACATGTAAGTTTGAAACCTTTCGTTCTAGTTCTTGTTAAGTGAAAATCCACTGATCCTCGGGTCTTTCTATGGTGCATCCATGACACCGAATTGATTTACAAATCACAAGTCTATCGTAACTTTTACAACTTTAACATAAGTTTGTAAGTTCTGACATAATTCACATATTAACATATTCCTTGAAAATTCACGATTCCGTCGTAACTTAACTAACACAAACATTCGAAGTTTACAAGTTATAGCTAGAATTCACCAGTTATTGAGTTTCCGGCACGGTACCAAGAATTTCTCTCGGCACCATAAAAATTCCCCCACTCCTCAACGTGAAAATTGTGCATCTGGTAGCTTAAAAACGCACTACATTCCTCATAAAGTCTACGGGCATTATTTTCATCAACTAGTAAACGTGCGTTTACGAGGACGTACTAAGTTTGACATTAGAAAATAAAAAAATCCTTGGAACTTCATAATTCTAGCATTAAAATACGCAACCATTCATGACCAATAACAGGTGCAAATATGCACTACACAACTTTGAGTCTAATCATTAACCAGTCATTTTTGGTGATTTGAATAACAGCACTCTCCCAGGAAAAACAGACGATTTCACCAACCCTAAAAATTAAAGTTTAGTCCAATTTCCAACTCACCCCAAACTTGATTGGACATTTGTTCGGTGTTCCTTAAAATAAAAAATTAAATAACAACAAAAAGGAGTAAATGTTGAGCAATTAAAAAGGAAAAAAATAATAATAAATAAAAAAAAAGGCAGGATAAAGGTTTTGAAAAAACTATAAAATCTTACAGATAAATATAAAGCACATCTATACAAAAGGTTTCCTTCTTATAAAAGACGCCCGGCGAGGCACAGATTCAATTATAAGGCCAAGAATTCCATGGAAGGAGAAGGGCACTTGTAACCTACAAGGGGTGGAAAAATAGAGGACCTACAGTTATTAACAGTATTGGCTAATTGTAGTTGAGCCAAGAAGGGCCCAACAATAATGAACTCAGCATCTGATCTGAACTCAAAAAGAAGTGATAAATTCTTCCATTACATCAGTATTCTATCCTTTCAGAAGGTCATAGATGGCTTGGCCTCCTCTTCCCAGAATCTGTCCTCAACCTCTTTACAGGGTTTGCCCAACCAACACTGGACCCTCCACTGCCGTTTGCGGGTTGAGCAGACTGGTTAGCCCACCCTTGAGAATGAGGGGTGGATTGTTGTGTTAGTCTCGTGTCCCTGGCGACGGAACCAGGACCTGGGCTTTTTATACCTCGAGCCATACTGGGGGGTGAAATGGGGCCGGCTGGTCCAGTCCTCGCCTTCCCCACAGACTTTTCCCTATCTTTTCTCTTCTTCTTGCAAATAACAAGATCCCCAGGATGAGTTAGACGCGGAGAATCATCCTGCTGATATTGCTCCCTGCTGTTGCCGCTTCCACTTCCATGTCTTGATTCCTTTTGCAGTGGGCCTCTCACCCTAACCGTCTCTTCACTACTGTACATCGGTCCCCGCTGCTGCGGCTTCTGCAAGGGGCTTGGCTCGGCTTCCACCTCGTTTACCATCTTCTGTCTCTTGGTTTGAGCAGCAGGGGCCATCCTTGGGGATGGAGCAGTGGTAGAAACTGGGCCAGAAAAGGAGAGTGCACTTCTGGCTTCTCGAAATTCTGTATCTGGAAATGCAATTTTCAAGATATCGAAGAACAAATCATGTACTTTCCTGGCCTCAGATCTCACCTGTGGAAAAATGGTGACATCATCAGCCCCTCATTATATCCCTGATATATAAGACCAGAAAACACCCTGGTTCTAAACGAGGCCTTTTGACGAGGATCATTCTAAAAGATAAAAGTAGAAAATTAGGCAAAAGAACTGTCCTGAATTTTACTGCAGCTTTCGAGGCAAAATGGCTTTAAATCTAAGTATCAAATTTTGAATTGTTATTTCAAGGCGTTAGCCAGCATTTGCATTTCTCATAAGCACTCACACAAGTTTTCTAGTCTTTCAAAAAAAAAAAAAAATCATCCACCTCAAGAAAAGATGTAAACAGAATGAACTAGTATGGTCATCCAGTGATAAAAAGCGGTAGAGTGTTAAACAGCATTACCTCATGTGAAAATGAGTAGTAATTCATTGCACTTCTTAACATAGCCTGCACATCAAATATCAGCTCCATAACTCCATTATACTCTAACCTCTCTATGCGCTGTTCGATCTTTCGTAAATCCAAAATATTGCTCCCAGATCCACCTGTGTAACCAGAATTTTCAATCCGCTTCCACAAATCCGTAAGCAAGGGAACAATTTGAGATCCTTCCTTATCTATTCGCCTTTGGAGCTTGATTATTACACTCTTGCACTGCATTCAGAAACTTACAGGTAAGTTCCTATAGAAGGGAAACAGAAAGATCAAACTAAACAGAAGCAACACTCATAGGCCAATTATTCCTATGCTCATATCCAACTAATACACCATGAAATAGTACTTAGATGTGCATGTGCGTGACATTCTCCCTCTATGCGCAGCTGAAAGTAGACATCTTACTCCTGTCACAATCAAGGACATTGCAGAAATGTGACAAAGTATACAGTGCATACCCTTCTTTGGACGATGTCAGACATCTTTGTGCCAAAAGCTGAGGTGCCAGTAGAATGTACAACTTTCCCCTCCCAATTGTCCCTAGGATGCTCACTAGCATCATCTGCAGAAGCAGACATGCTATTCAATCTGCTGCTAGATTTTGGCGAAGCATGCAACTTTGACGTATTAGCTACTCTCCGTGAAGGCAGATTCCGTCTACCTTTCGTTGAGGAATCATTCTGCTCATGCCTATAAGAACTGGAATCTCCATACAATTTCATTTCAGGGTCTCCTCTTAACTGCGCTTGATATTTATGGTCCACCTGGAATGGCAACAGTGATGTATCTCCCCGTTGGATAGATGATGTCTCGTTGCTAGATTTGTCTTCTGGCCTTTCCACATTGTGACGGGGACGAATGCGAAGACTGCGTTTCCTTTTTATTTTCGGTTGTAAGACCTGTTCATCTTCAGCCTCTTCACGGTCATGAATCCAACTTCCAGATTGCTGATGATCCATGTGAGAATCTCCGGACACAGCAATTTCCCCTTCCTCTAGTTCATCTGGCTGGAAATTATATAATAACAAAAATAAAAAATTAACCCACTTAGTACGAGCAAAAATTAACAGAACATCAAGAGATAATGACAAGTCGCATACCAGTCTTTTAGAAACAGAACCTGGCCTACCATCTAAGGCCGACAGAGACCCAAATTTCTGAGAAGAAACTGGAGACACTATCCGAGTCAATCGTCGGCTGTCTGAGGATGATCCAGAGGAACCAGCTTCTTCTGGTACATGGTTATTCCTAATAATTTCTGAAGCCCGAGGATACTCGTATGTACCATCACATGCTGGGCCATCTTCTTCTGCTTGGTCTTTATTAACTTGTGGTGCCCCAACAGCGCCACTGAATTCATCATCTTCGTATTCTCCTATCTCTCCCTCTTCTTCATGCATAGAATATCCATTTCTCTCATCAGAACTTGCTTCCGAGTATTCTCCATTTTCATCATCTAATTCCTTGTAATTAGGATGCTTCTTTCCCTTGGGCCGCCCCCTTCTTCTTTCAGGTTTAGGAGACGAATCAGAACCCATTTCACTAGATTCCACTCCAATATTACCACCAAGTAACATCTTCTTCAATGGTCTTTTTGATAAAGCAGCAATGGTGGAATTTACTTCTTTTGTACCAGCTCGAAGCCATTTAGGTACCTGCTCATAGATTGACATCTCCTCAATCCAATCTAGTTCTTCATCCATTTGATCAAACAATTCAACTTCTTCTTCACTTCTTGCAATCATGCGATTAACCTCCTGCAAGGATGGAACATCATGGACAGTTTCTTGATATCTCTCCTCGTCATGCAATAATGTCTCTAATGTCACGCGTCTCTCTTCGTGTGTAGTCCTCTGGTCAAAGCGCCCAGCATTTATAACCTCATCAGCCATGTCAATCTTATATTGTTGAATGTTGTTTCTGATGAGGCTCTCAATAGATCCCATGTATCGATCTTTACCAGCAAGGTCATCCTCTGAATCAACTGTACCTCCACTTCTCAGTTCATCTTCTTTCTGATGGCTGGATATTTTGTCAACAACTGCTTCCATATAAATAACTTTAACTTCTCTTTTCTGTCCAATACGGTGGGCTCTAGCTACTGCCTGTTCCTCATTTTTAGGGTTCGGATCAGGATCATAAATGACAACTGTATCAGCGGACTGAAGATTTAGCCCACGACCAGCTGCACGGATACTAAGCAAGAAGATGAAGCAATCTGAATTAGGGCTATTAAAGTCAACAATGGCTGATTCACGATCCTCTAAACTAGTTGTTCCGTCAATTCGCCTATAGATAAGTCGCCGCCACTGCAAGTATTCCTCCAATATATCAAGGAGTTTTGTCATGGTACTGAAAAGAAGTACACGATGCCCCGTTCTCTGAAGTTTGATGAGGATTCTATCTAGAATCCACAGTTTACCACAAGATCTTACAAGGAAATCCTTTGATAAGTCACTGAAATATGGATAATTGAGCAAAGGATGGTTACAAGTTTTACGCAGCTCCATACACCTGTTATTCAAGGTCTTATAAACCCTAGCCTGGTAAAGTGAATTTTTTTGAACCCTGAGCTTCTCATCTTCCGGGTCAATTCGGAGAGTACCAGTAGATTTGATCCAATCATAAATGGCACTCTGTATAGCTGACATTCTACATCTTAGAACTATGGACACCTGTGATCCAGAATTGCTAGTGAGAATGAATTATAAGCCATGTAAAGCACGTACAAATAAAGGGCCAAGGCAACAGCATACCTTTGGTGGAAGTGAACCCTCAACATCTTCAACACGTCGTCTGAGCATAAATGGCTCTAAAATTTGGTGGAGTCGGTGGATGATGATAACTTTCTTTTCAGTCTCTAGCCAGTCATCTTCTGCATTCTGCATAGGAGCTTCTTTTTGGAACGGCTGTGAGAACCAATCATGAAATGCCTTCTTATTGTCAAAAACTTCAGGAAGAAGTAGATTCAAAAGTGACCATAATTCCTTCAAATCATTCTGCAATTGTAAAATCAATCCAGCTCAACTCAAGAATCTGGATAAAATTATTCAAGAGAAAATGTGAAATGAAAGGTCCCACAGCAGAAGGAAGAAAATGAAAATACAACTATAATTATGGATCATCCTTTGAAAAAAAAAATCCTAAGTTCAGACGATTGAAACACCGAACAAATGACTCTTCTAATCACCAAGTATTTTTTCCATTAAAAAAACTAAATTAAAATAGCAAATAATTTTAGGGAAAAAAAAGACAGCTAAAGCCCCCACTAATGTTTCAGATTAAAGAACCGTTCATATCCTACTCCACGTGCATATCAGTGTGTGTGTTTGTGGGCTTGTATTTACAGTAACCTAATAATGATATTACTATGGTTGCACAAAGCCAATTCTCGAAAGCCACGAATTAGTTAAGCTCGTGCAAAGAAATAACAACGTACATAGCTTGAACCCATACAATTTTGTCAAGGCGTGTTGTAATTATATGTCAAATGAGTATTATAGGAACCTGTAATGGCGTCCCTGTGAGAAGCAGGCGCCTATGGCAACGATATCTATCAAGATCACGCGCTAGAACTGATTCCCTGTCCTTCATCCTTTGTGCCTCATCAATTATAATGTATTTCCAATCTATCTTGGAAAGTTTAGAGCGATCATACATGATGAACTCATAGGTTGTCACAAGGACATTGAACTTCATGGCACAGACCTCCTAATCAAGAATAAAGAAATGTAAACAAAATAAGTTGGAAAATCAATGGAAAACAAAAGCATAAATAAAAAAAATATAAAAACAAAAACAAAAACAAAAAAAAAAAAATGCATATGTCTCACTTGAGAAAACAATTTTGACCGTTGATCCTTTCCACCAACATAATATATGCAAGAGACAGATGGCAACCAAGTATGCAACTCACTCTGCAAAATGAGCTCAGATAGGCATGTTACGGGAAAATCATTATCAAAATCAACAGAAAATAAACTAACCTTCTGCGTTCAAGGAAAAAATAAAGAAAAAGAAACCAACCTTCCAATTTACTAAAACAGCATTTGGAACAATTATGAGATGCGGCCCATAATTCCCTTTGAATTCCATTAAGTATGCAATCAAAGCCATTACCTGCAACAGAAAGTTCTAAATCACTTGACTATAACAGAATACTTGCATAGGGAACTGGAGCACCAAAAAACCAACTCTTTTATATGTTGACAGTCTTTTGTGACAATTGGAGAGCGGACCATAAAGACTAGCTTTCTCTCTCTCTCTCTCTCTCTTTTTCCGTTTTTGCTGAATAACCAAAAAAAAAAAAAAAAAAAAAAAAAAAAAAAAAAAAAAAGAGACCCCTCGAGTAGCTCGATTCCAACAAAAAGCCACCTGTACAGTTTTTCCAAGACCCATTTCATCAGCTAAGATTCCATTTAACTTGTTGTTATACAACGAAAGCATCCATTGCAACCCAACCTACACAATAAAGCCAATAACAGTTAAAGGGCTAGCTCGCTTGAAAGCCCTCCAAAAGGAAAAAATGCTACTGGAAAATAGTGAACACAAAGTAGTGGGCCCAAAATGAAACAACTACTAAAAATGGTAACATACAAGTTGATAGTCTCTTAAAGTTCCAGCTCGCAACATGGAGGGTTGCCTTGCGACTCTTTCATTCACAGCATGTGCAAGACTATAATACCTGGTAACAAATGTGAAAAATGAGAAACAATTAAAAAAGCTAAATACAAAATTAAATCGCATAAGCATATACGCAAGTACATAACAAAGAATGCTAAAAAACAAAGAAATTAAATCCAAAAACCAGGCGGATCTTGGATACACAGCCAGTATGAACCTCTATACCACAAAACCAACTACCCCACGTTTGATATTACTGAGGACATTTTCCACAAAGTAACCCGCTTACTTGTTAACGGATGAGCTATCCTTTGGTGCATTCATTTCCATAAAACGATTTCGTATCATCACTTCCTCCCCAGCACAAGCTGCTGCTGCTCTAACTTCTTCTTCCGATAGACCCTTTTGTCAAAAAACAGTTAATTAGATGAATTAGTGAGAAAAAACACGGGACGGGGCATGAAAAATGAGAAATGGGAAAAACCAAAAGTGAAAATCAGCAAAGAGGTTGGAAGAAGAGGAAAAGAGGAAGAAAAATAATGAGACAAATATGCAAAGCGTACCTGAAGTCGTGCAGCAGCTGCAGCAGCATTTGCTGCCTCCTCCACCTCCTGCTGATTCTTGGCAGCAGTTATTTTACCTCCCAGTTTGTAAAGATATTCTTCTGTCTGAGTCAAGAATGATGAGAGAACTGCATATCTCTCCGCAGCATCACCTTTAATGTTGGTCTGCTGTTCAAGTAACATCTCCCTATACCTTTCCACATCATTATTCTTCAATGCTTCCATCCTTTTGTTCCGATCGTCATCCTTTCTTTTTGAGAATTCCCTCAACATCTTCTCGTGATACTTTGCGACTCCCCTATTTCGGGCAGTCCGTGCATCACGAATGCCCCAGTGAGCCTCAAGAAGCTTCTTACGCCAGAGAAAGATGGATTTCAGTTGCTTATCTCTCAAGGCTTTTTGAGAAGCCTGTACTTGCCTAGAAAGATCCATGCGCTGACGCTCACAGAGCCGAACAAACTTCCTATACGGCCTATCGGGCATAGCCATTATCTCCTGCTGCTGTTGATCAATTTCATCCCTCAAGCGTGCCTGTAAATCTAAAAGTCGGAGCTTCTTCTCTTCGATTTGCAACCGCAATACAAGATCTGGCCTAATCCTTTTTCTCTCCAAATTTACCGCCAGTAAACCACCAATCTTCTTTATATTTTCTGTTCTCTTCTTGTTAAGCACCTCTGCACCTTCCTCAAAAAGAAGATCTTTGACATCATATGCCAATGTTAAATTGTTATTATTATTAATCAGTCCAGGGCCCAAGGAGTCATGTTTCCTAGTAAAGAAAGGGAAATCAAATAGTGGTCCATGATACTTTCTGGTCAGACCAATATCTTTTGGCTGGGATGGTGCAGTGCTCGGTTGTGCAGTGCTCGGTTGTGCAGGCTTTTTAACTTGCATTGCATCAGATGCAGGAACCTGAGGTGCAATGGTCTTTCCCCTATCTATTGAATCACTACGAACAGGAGCTTTTGGAATAGCCCTTTCAACTTCAGGGTCTGTCTTGACAGATACACTAGTAGGACGCTGGTCGTCTTTTCCTGAAGAAATGACTGGTGCGGGTTCCTTCGTCACAGCTGGCGTACCTTGCATGTGAACAGCTGATGCACTTGCTTTCTCATCCCTTGTGGAAACTTCTTGCTTTGCAATGTTTTGCCCACTAACTGATGCAACCACCTGTGCATCTTTGTCACTGGACTCAACATGTCTAGCACGGTCAGCTACAACCTTCCCAGCAGATTTATCCTGAATGTTTCCACCTCCAGGAAGAAATTGCTGCTGCAGCTGCACCTCAAGGGGAGGCGGCACAATAGCCCGAAGAAGTTCTTGTGGGAGAGTACCTTCTCCTTTCTGTCAAATAACAAAAAAGAAAATACAAATCATCTCAATAATTGAAAGGTAGCAACAGTTTAAAAATTAAAAGGTAATATATTATTTAGTTTATCAGGGAGGATGGAAAAAAATATATTTACAAACCTTCAATCGCCTAAATGCTAGAATTTGAGCTTTGAGAACGTGCAATTGCTGTTTGGTGAACCCGTTCTGCTGTTGAGACATCTGAGTAGCTGGTCCACCTTGTGACAGAACTTGACTGCCCGAGGCCCTCTCATTCATAGCAACAGGAGCTTGTGGGGAAGATCGACTCAATGGCCTAAGGTATTGCAGTTGCATATTTTCCGTGCTGCTCAATGAATTTTTCGCATGAAAAGATTGATCCACACCCTGGCTCATGTTTGCAGGTGACTGCAAAGGATGCATTGGAGGCATTCCGTTCCCAGCTACAGCTGTCTGTCTAATAGGCGTTGGGTTTTCTCTTCCATGAGCAGGAAACTGCTGCATCGCAATGTTGTTACTATTGTTAATACTACCAGCATTTGAAGTAGAACCAAAAGGGCCAGATGAAACCACTTGCTTTGCTTTTGCTGACCCCGACTGCCCAGATACATCACTTGATGAATTAGCACGTGGTGAATTCTCACTTGCAACTTGTGGAGAAGTAACCTGCTGCTTTGTCACCGGGATGGGTGTTGGTTGTGCACCCACATTGCTTTCATTTGCTTTTTGCTGTCCAGCCATCCTAGCTTGTACAAGTGGGATGAGCTGCGCCATCAAATTGGCGTTTCCTGGCAATGAAAGATCAATGTTGTGCTCAAGTGCCCATGCCTGCACTGCCTGCAGCTGAGCCATTGCGATCTGGTTGCTTGTCATGTTTTGTATGTTTTGCTGAGATTGTGGCACCTGCATGGGCCTTATGATATTTCCTGGCATTAATTGTCCAATGACTGCTGGCTGAGCCAACAGCTTAGGCTCACTCCGCTGGTCAGAGGCCACTGGCTGCCCTTGCTCCATCTGCTTTTCTCCGCGAGCAAAATGCTCAGACGAATTTTTGGATGATGATGCATGTGCTTGGTTAGCCGCTTGAATGGACATGAGTTCTTGCATTTTCATATTTCCCATTCGTGGGTCCTGATCCTTGCCCGACGGAGGGCCTAACAATCCCATTTTAGCCTGCTGTTGGGGTTGCATGACCATAGATGACTTCTGTTGAGCAGCCTGAAAAGCATACTGAAGATAAGCTTGGTGGACTGGATTCAGTACCTGCTGGTCAGGCCCTTGGCTCCTATTCTGACCCTCCAGAGAGGAACCATGTTGTTGTGCCAAGTCAAAGAATTTCCTTGATTGTTGAGGCAGCGGCATCATACCGGGAGATGAAAAATTGCCCACTCCCAAAACTCCCTGGAGACCGCCACCTTGATATGCTAGAAGATGTTCATTACCTTCAGGTTTTCTTAGTAATTGTTGTTGTAATGGCTGCATGAACAGAAAATTGTACTATAAGAGCCTTAGTCATCAGGAAAAGAAGATACAACTATTTGGGGAAAAAAATTGCCATTGTCATCCTCATTTTTAATTCCGATTGAATAAAGACAATGCAGAAGATATGCCCAAATATGTCGTTGGAAACAAACCAAAACGCCTGAAATCAGACACTGATTTAAACAAAAAAAAAAACCCCTGATTTAGATTTCTATTAGAAACGAGCTCCTGCAGTATGAATAGAATAAAAATTATTAATTTATAACTAAACATCCTACACAAAAAAGACAAGACATCATCCATTATCCAAGTTAGATAAATGCATAATTACTTCTAATCACATTTCTGGAAGTTATGATATACTCCTCAATGTTAGTGTAATATCAGACTCAACACGGCTTCTTGGGAAAGTCCATAAGAAAATGGGAGCAAAGGAAGACAATATTCATGGAAACTGAATCAACAGGACTATACACAGTCACGCACATAATGGGAAAAAGGATGGAGGTTAAAAGCATTTCTAAGAAACAAGAAACAAGACAAATCACAAAACCATGAGAGTACATGGACTTCAATTCACCATATTAACACAACCAAAGGGTCATGGGCAAAGCTATGAAGAATCTCACAAAGTGCAATTCTTAAACTTAAATCATCAATAAAGGCCGAGAAATCCAAGTCATTTCGCTCTGTTCTCAGCTATCGATAACTACCATACTTCAGCAAATGAACACGAAAATCCCATTTCGCCATAACCCAAACAAAGCCGAGTAAACAAACACAATCGATGAATGGACCTGAACTTTTTCAGCAGATTCCAAATTAAACTCAATAAAAATCCTAAATGAGATGGAAATAATCACCACCAAAGGCTAAGATTTTTAACGTCAACTTCAGATACAGAAGAATACAGCAAAAGACAGAATCCTTAAGCAGACCCCACATTTTTGTGATTGAACTGAACCGTTCTTTATCCAACTGAGCACGGTTGATGACCTTATTATGGCTATCCGATTAGTTATCATTAAGGCAATGTCTACTTTGTCTCCTCGGTTAACTAAAAACTTACTCTTCCAAGAAATTAATCAGGAACCAACTAATTAATAACTAACTAACTAAACGTCCAAACGACACAATCCAAACGTATTAATTGCAAAAAAAAAACTCTAGTTGGTACATTTGCAAAGAAATAATTAGAAATGCGAAAACTTTCATCTTTCAGCTTCAACCCCACAAATGACGCATTCCCACGTCCCAATTTAACGGAATTCCACTGAACCAAAAGAAAATCACATTACCTGCCTAGACTGCTGCTGCTGCTGAATTGAGTCGAAGCCCAAGTGCGGCGTCGACACGGCGGACGACGACGAAGACGGCGAGGCAGCCGACGACGTCGATGCCGCCCGCCCCACCGGACCTCCCGGATTCCGGCTGGGTCCTCCTCCACCACCACCACCAGATTGCATGCCCAATTGCACTGGAATACAATACAGACCTACCCAGAAGCCGAAATCCCAGAAAAATACAAAAGAACCTCCGATAAGAGAAAAATTGGGGGCGAAATGAAAAAGTTAGAATACACCCAAAAAGCCCAAAACCCAAGAAAACTAGAAAAATCCCTCCAACTTTCGACAAAAACCTTGTCTGGGCCCTCCGATCGCAACGTTCAAAAACCCCCCCGCAACAGCCCTCGAAGATTTTCTCTCTCTACACCAATTTTCTCTCTCTAAAAAAAGCGCGATTTTCGGAACGGGCATGGACGATGACGATGGTGGATCTCTGGAGCGAGCTGACAAGCCGAGTTGACGGGCAGGAAATTGGCGATTCCACTCACTCTCTCCTGGAGGGTTTTTCGCACGCGATTCGCAAATTTTCTCAGTCAAACCCTAGGCCTTTTTTTTTCTCTCTCTCTCTCTCTCTCTCTAATTTTTCTCTGTTCTTTTTTTTTTCATTTCCCTAATTTTTAATTTCTTTTGAGGGTAACTTTTTTTTTTTCTCTCTCTCTCTTTTTCTTTTTTTTATTTTTTTTTATTTTTTTATTTTATTTTTTTTCTTTTTCCTCTCTCGCTCAGGTTGAGGAACATGTGGGGGTCGCTTTATGGCTTTATGCAGCTAACAATGAGGCTGATTCCGGTGCCTACGGTTAGATTTTTTACATTAAGTTTACAGTTACTAAATCGGCCCCAGAATCCACAGTAATTACGGTTCGAGCCATGGGTTTTTAATTATTTTATTCAATATTTTTTTTCCTTAAGAAAGTTGTCGTTTTGTTTTTGTCAGGTAAAGGCTACGATCAAGCTTACCTGCCAAAAACGGAAACAGACTCCTCCAATAGCAATATGAAACGTGTCCCACATGAATTTGTCGTTTTTTTTCATTCCTTTTTTGTTGTGAGCAAAATAAATAACGATGTTTTTACATTGACAAAATTAATAATAATAACGTTGTTTTTACATTGACAATATTAATAATAGTAACGTTGTTTTTGCTGTGAGATAAAATAATAATAATTAACTTTATTCGTTGAGATTATTACCTTCCATTTTCATTATTGGAGTCGCCAAAGATGGACTCTTTTTTAAACCATGAATGATTGGGTATGAATCTCAGGTGAGAAAGGATCTAAAAAATTGAGGCATCGTTCGTTTCGCTAATTCGAGTTTTGTTACAGTAAAAAGTTATCACAAACAGTCACATCTAACTTTTTTACTACAGTAAAAAGCTCTCACATAAAATCACATCTCAACTCAAATTCTAAACTCGAATCAGCGAAACGAACGAGGTCTGAATGTATTGTAATTATATTGGCAGAGTGTTTGTTCTAGAGTAGTAGGCTACCAATGCGAACTTTGTAATGTTGTAATAGGTGAATCGTAACTGCTGATCTTTTAAGTTGTGAGATGCATCTAAATTGAATACCATTTCCAATTAAAACAACTCATATTCATTAGGTGAGTTGGTCTTTTATCTACGATAAAATAATTTTTTAAAAAAAGTTTTTTTACGGTGGAGCAAGATACTTCACTCCACTAGTGAAAACTGTAGGATTAATTTTTTGAGTGGAGAAATTTTGTGTAGTGCACTGTAAAATTTTAATATGGACATGCACGGATTTAATCATTAAAAAATAAATATAACGATTAAAAATAATTGTTCATACCGGTAGAGTAAAATAACATGTTCCACCGTAAAATAATGGATGAATAGAAAGTTATTTAATTACTATATTGTTATTTTCACCATTTGATACTACACACTTTGAAAGATAAAATAGTCTTTTTAAAACTTTAAAGGGTGGATTGCATAAATCCTCTCATTAAAAGATGCAAAATGATGAATTTGAAAAGAGAGAGTTTCATTTCACCTCTCACTTCTCTCTAAACAATAGGTTGAGGTCTCGTTCATTTCACCGATTCGAGTTTTCAGTTTTAAGTTTCTACAGTAAAAAGCTTTCAGAAAATGTCACATCTAACTTTTTCTGCTACAGTGAAAAGCTCTCAAAAAATACCACATTTTAGTTCGAATTGAAAACTCAAATTCGCGAAGTGAACGAGGCCTGAGACTCTCTTTTCATCCCCCTCTCTCTCCATCCATCCTGTTAAACATACTCTGAGCAAACATGTATCTACTCGAAAAGGAATCGTTTAATTTGTAAGTGTTGTCGGAAAATTTGTTTGATTGTGGTATGGCCACTCTTTTTCAACCGTGATACTTCTTGTGAACAACAACAACAAAAAAGAAAAAAAAAAAGAGAGAACAAAATTTTATCATAAGAATTAATAAAAATAGGTACATGTGATGAAAAAACAAAATATAGAGCCGAATTAACAATAAAGTAAAAAAAAAAAAAACATGAAAAAAAGATTAGATAAGAAATAAGTAAAAAAAAGTATAAAAGATTAAATATATAAACAAAAATAAAAATTAAAGTATTTTTTTTAAGCTTCGAGTAAGAAAAACAACAGACAACAACTAAATAAAAGTATAAGAAATGAATGGCATAAATGAAAATAAAATTAAATAATTTTTTCTTAAACTATAAGTAAAAAAAAATAATAGATATAAATAAGTAAACCGTATAAAAGATGAAAGATATAAATGAAAATAAAGATTAAACTATTTTTTCTTAAACTCTAAGTAGAAGAAAAAAATAGATAATAACAAGTAAAAAGTATAAAAAAAAATAAAGATATAAATGAAAATAAAAATTAAACCCTTTTTTTCTTAAGCTTTAATAGAAAATATATATAACAAGTAAGTTAAAGTACAAATGATGAAGTGCATAAACGGAATAAAAATTGATCGGCAACAGCTAGTTTCATCACAACTCGCATGTGTCAGTGCAATAGGATATGAATTTGACTATTATATTTATTGCATATGAAAGAAATAATTTTATGATGCAATCAAATAAATTTTCACTCATCGCCATACTCTATTAATAGTTTAAAAGATAATTTTTAACTTTTTTGATTAAGAGTGGTGTTATGTGAGGTTTTAGTCTGAAAAATGATAAAAATGATCATTTTATCATGTAATATAAAAATATTATTTAATTTGACCCCCTTTTCTTAATTCTAATTAAGAGGAAATAGTAGACGCATGAATAAAAGCTCATATTACATTATTTATCTTAACATATAGACCGCAATGCCTATTTTGATGAGATGAGTCTTATGGGTTCGGAAGTCACCTTCAGCTTTTAATACAAACTATTTCATTTGACCACTTTTTCTTAAACCTCAAGTAAGAGAAAACAATAGATAAAAAGTAAGTAAAAAGTATAAAAATGTGAATGACATAAATAGAAACTAAAATTAAACGACTTTTGTTAAACTCTAAGTAAGAGAAAAAAAATAAATAATAAGTAAGTAAAACGTACAAAAAGTGAAGAGTATAAATAAAAATTAAATCATTTTTTCTCAAGCTCTAAGTAAAAGAAAATAGTTTATAACAAATACATGAGAAATATAAAAGATGAAAGGTATAAATGAAAATACAAATTAAACCGCTTTTTTTTTAAACTATAAGTAAAAAAAAAAGAGTAAATAATAAGTAAGTAAAAGGTACAAAAAGTAAATAGCTTAAATGAAAACAAAACTTAAACCATTTTTTTAAGCTCTAATTAAGAAAAAAGAGGAAGCATGAACGGAAAAAAGGTCGACAGTTGTTTGCTCCATCCCATTTTTATTATATAATTATAATTAGACTCTTTACCGTGAAATAATATACACACAAATATATAGGCAAGTGAAATTTGATATTCAAACTTAGGACTTTAGTCTTGAATATTGATATTGAATATTGGATGTAGGTTTGAAATTGTTGGAAAATGACTTATAAAACTCATTATTATGAAAGACCATTTCCAGGTTTGATTTTAACTGGGACTCGTGTCACATGTTTAACTCCATAAGAAAATTAAAATGAAATATTTATATGCATCATTTTAATATTTATATGCTTAAAATGATGCATAAAAAAATAAGACGGGTCACAAGAAGTTGATCGACTAGTCAAAATTATTACACAAGAATTATACTTATTAGAGTTATTTATTTTCATTTGTTAGTAAGAGTATAATAGTTTTTGATTAATTTAATCGTAACTGAATAATTAAAATGTAATGCCGTTTTTGTTGAGTTTACTTGAGAAAACAATTCAACTGTTTTTTTAATTAGAAAAAAATGCATCAATAGTATATTTTATAGATGCTAATAAAGTAAATATCATAAACTTAACTAAAAATTATAGCTCGTTTGGTTGTAGGATTCGTTATCTGATTCGAATCATGGTTCATGGTTCACTATAGTATTTTTTCTCATAAAAAACACACGTAAATAAAAAATAATTCTAATCTCATAGTTCTAATCCATAAACTAAACGGGCTATTAATAAATATCATAATTACAATAAATCCATATTTATTATACCATAAAATACTAAAATTACCCTTACTGAAAATTACCTATTCATAAAACCGCGATTAGAAACCCACAAAACATCAATCTCTCTCCTCACTATGCATGGCTTTCTCAATTCGATCCCATCTCTCTCTCTCTCTCTCTCTCTCTCTCTCTCTCTCTCTCCCCCCCTTCCCATCTGTTAGCCGTTAATCACGAACTCCATTGTGAACTGCATCAACTAAGATAGAGAACCAGAGAACATGGTCGTGCACTTTCGAAAAAAAATTTAATGCAGTGAAATGGGATTTTAATTTTTTTTATTTAAAAAAAAAAAAAAAACAAGATACGACTAATGTTTCTATAAAATGAACTGAAATAATAGTTCCTACCTATTTGGCAAAGACAAATCCAATAACTCCTTCACAGCTTTCTCAACCACTCGATCTTCCTAGCTATATATAACTCTTCCCAGAATCAACTGGTGTGTTGGCACTAGTGAATTCTCTTATTCAATTCTGATCCTTGCAACCTTTCTTGGTTATGGTTTACTTTTCTCTAATGGTCAAAGAATAGGAACCATAGTGTATAGATGCCAAAAAGAATCCGCCTCCGAAAAGGTTTATAAAGGTATTTATACTGCAAGGCAAAACAAACAAATTCCACCCCTCACCCCCTAACCCTATAGCAGTTGGGGCACACCTAAGCCATGTGGGGCTTGGGTGTGTGATGCAACACTCACGGCGAGTTTGTCACGTGTCAGCTTTTTACTGCATGCTCTTCGATCACAGTCAAACTTTTATACACAACTAAGACATTATTTTGGAATTAAAATTGATTATAAATATGTAAACAAAAAACAAATAATTTATTTTAACAATTAAAACAAATAAATAATGCATAGTATTTACCTTAACAAGTAAAATAAATATTTTATGTGCAATTCATATTGTCACATAAAATATACATGACACAAGCCTAAGACCACTTAGTCTAATGACACTAAGGGTTTAACAAGGATGAAATTTTGAGGGAGATTACGGGTTCAATCTCGTGTTGTATGAAAACAAGCAATCTAATACTCTGGGCACTATTTGTGTGCACGTTTTTCATGCGGTGGAGAAAATTTCATTAAATTTTTTCTTGAGAACATACAGAGCTAGCAAAACTTGGTGTTAACAATTACTGCAATCGTTATTGCGCGGTAAGTGTTGGTGCCTCTTGTAGGACTTGGTATAGTAATGCTGGCTGATAAGCTTGGTTTCCTTCTCCAGTTAGAGATAAGATATTTAGACTTTTGTTGCTTCTTCAACACGCAACGCCTACATCCATTATGGCTGGTGCTTTGGCCAATTTAAGAGGCTGTGGAAATGAGGCAGTTGCTGTCTCGTTTTGGGTTTCTGTGTTTTCTATGGATCGGTGAATATCACTCTACCTCAAATTCTCTTCGAAATTATTAGGGGAAAAAAAAGACAGCATAAAAGACAAAATTGAATTTATATATTTTTCTTAATTATTAAAGGAAATTATGGTAAAATAAAGGATGTTGGTAAAAATGTCAATAACAAAAATATAAGTGTGTCTATTTATATTTCATTGAGATTTAAATGGATAGGCTTACACATTTAAATGTATATGCATTCATGAAGCTTGCTGCTTTTATTGTTCTAAACAACAAAGTACTTTGTTTTCAAAGATCCAGCCTTTCGATACGTACGTATCTTATTCTGCATTGAAATGACCTGAGAATTTTGTCCATAAATATATTAAAAAAAAAAAAAAAAAAAAAAAAACTCTAACAGGGACCTAGTTTATATGCGCCAAACAAAGCCTCTAAAATTTCTTAATTTTTAAGAATATGTTGGAATGATCAATGGCCTATTATTCGTTTCATGAATAAACATATGATCATAGAATCTATGTCGTTTAGAGCTGTATTCCTATTTGCGCATATCTTTGTTAAATGGGATACAAATCATAAGTTATCAGAACTTGACGTGAACGTAAAAGGACGGACTCTATTTATTTTCTTTTCTCGTCATGTTCTTCAGTATAAAATAAGTAAGAGTGCAGTTCAAAGACATGCCAAGAAAAACAGTTGATAACAAACGCAACTTCGCTGACAAGCGCATATATTATCTATTTCCAAACTTCTTTCTGGAAGCAAAATCACAGACAACAATAAAAATACCAAAGAAGTATAACATCTCCTCAGAGGACTTTGTATCATCCTAGACATAACAATAATCTCAATACTATCCGCCGTGCAAGGTTGAAATAAATACCACCACATCGTTCTCTTCGAGCGTGGTATTGAGTAGGCCACTCAGCTCCCAATCACAATCATTCACAAGGACTAGAACACCAGGTCTCCTGCAAGAGAGATGAAAGTCTCAGTGTATTCTAGAAAAAAAGAGGGGGAAATGTAATTCTATGGTCATAGCCAATTACTCAAGTAAAACAGAATTTATTTTCATTATCAATTATCAAACAACTTCATTTCGTGATATATTTTTTCACGACATTTAGACAAATTCTACTTCAAATTACCCCTTTAAACAGATTATAACTTACACAGTATCCCCTTTCATGAACATTTCAGGCCTCTCCTTGATCAAATTGGTACGCACCCAAGTAAGCAAATCTTTCATAGTTAACTAAGAAGAAGAAAACTTATTTTTAGTATGCCAACAATAATAGTAAAGACAATAAATCAGCTCCATGCTGTCCACTCGAGCTTGAACAATAAAAGTTTACCTTTTCTACTCCCTTTTGTTGCTCGACGTTGACTTTATGAATCTTTACAGAGTCACAAAGGAGTTCTAAACCTCCACTGCATTGAAGAAATAGCATTGCGGTGAGGTCCAAAGGGCAACAATTGCAACACATCAAACACGATCATGAGTAGCCGCATAATAAGTGTTAGATGGAAGGCAAACTACCAGATGATACAACTTACAAGAATATATAACTTAGACAGAAAAAGAAATCTTTTTTTTTTTTTTCATTGTTGCTTAAAAAAGAAAAATAAACAACGCACGAATTACCATTTAGAGAATTTACGGCAGGGCATATATTATATACCCTACTAGGACGATATAGTTACCATCAGATCTTCATCAAGTTTCCTTAAATTATCATACAATTTTTAACCTGATATGATTATTACATGATCTGACATGCATTTTTTTCATACCCAAGCACTAAATCCTCATTGCCATTTACCAAGAACAAAGCCTAGTCAACTTGAAAATGGACTAAAAAAAGACATTGTATTGAACTGTTGGTACATACTTTATGAGAAATCAAACAATAGGGATGAATGTGTTGTGGTTTCATGAATTTCACAGAAGTCTTCATATAAAGAAACTGGACACGATTCAAGAGGTTCAAATGTTTCAAGTTTTATACTCCAGAACAAGACAAAGGAAGCAATTCACTCTGTAACTTCAGAGTATTGCAATTCGCAATTTTTTATCACTAAAATCCCATTTCAGTTTCCAATCCTTCAAAATTCCACAATTCAAACAAGTTTAAGTTTACAAAAAAAAAAAAGAATAAGGAAGAATTCGAATTTCTAGGGCAATTGACGATCAGGTGCTCATAAACTCAAACACAATGGATAAAACTCACAAATACACGGGAAAGAAAAAAAAAGTGAGTCTTGAGAATTGAACAATCTAACTGGTTATAAGATTTCTACAAAGTTTAAAGAAACATTTTAATTACCCGAATTCAAGAGTGAGTTGCATATTCCTTAATCCGCAGTGTTTCGGTTTGTGGTTGGTCGACGGAGGCGAGAGAGAGATCAGAGGCAGCGAGGGAGAGAGGGTTGGCGACGGCGGCTGTCTAAGAAGAACTGAAGAAGCAAGAGGAGGGGGGAAGAGGGGCAGCTGTCGGAGACGAGAAAGGTGGGGACAGGATTTTTTTTTAGGGAAGGTATTTTTCATTTTGTACGTTTGGTATTATATGTTTTTTTTTATAATATCACGCATGTATTTGACATTTTAGAAAATATTTTGTTAATACCTTCAAGCTGATTTTCAGAATATGAAATATCAAAACTGTCATTTTTATTAATTAATTAAGTACAAAATTTTTAATATTTCATATTTTAAAAAATATTTTATTTTTCAAAAAAATATATTTAATATTATTAAAAAAAAAGTTCAAAAAATATATCTCTCTTCCCTCTCTATCTCTCGACAAATCCGTACCCTAAATTTCCCTAATAATAACGACAACAAAAATATTTGGAGAATAAAGTTTAACAATGCACAATTAAAAAACACAATATTTAAAATGAACAAAAAAATAAAAGAATTAAAATGTACATTTTAAATTAGATAAATGTATTTTAATAAATTATGATTATAAACATGAGATCTGTTTTATAAAAAGATAAATAAAATATTTCTAAAAACTTATTCACACTTTTAGTGAATGAAATAAAATTACTGCTAAAGACAATAGATAGGCAATAAAAGGGGAAAGTAAGAAAAAGGAATAAGTAGGAAAAAAGAGAGAAGAAAATATATTAAAAAAAGTCTGAAAAAAAAGAGAGAAAAAAAAAGAAGAAAGAAAGTAGAAGTCAATATGTTACCTCCATAAAGACCGATGACATTTTTAGAAGTCAACTATTTGACTCTTTTAAGTATGTATAGATAGATTTTATATTTTTACTATTAAATTATAAATATTTCTTCTCAATTATAACCTTCTAATAATGTGTCCACGATCTATAAAATATTAATAAAAAACTTCTTCCATCGTATTTTTAATAAAATAATGTCACACAAAAATAAGGGCCGTCTCTTTGCAGTGATACAAAAGTGAAAGGATAGATTATTGAATTTCAAATTTTTTTAAGGTTATAAATGAGCCTAGAGCTCTAACCGGTCCGGAAATGTCACATGATGAGGTAGCTGTAGCAACCATCATTTCAAATTTAGTAAGATTTTGATGCATTTTAGGAAACGGGAAAAAAGAAAAGATTGGTATGGCTAAAATAGAAGTTCATTACTACATTACAAATATATATGCCAAATGAAAATAATTCCTCAATTCTTATTGCAAAGAAAATTACATAAAATACCAAATGCATTTGGCATATTTGGCAGCAACAAAAACGACAATCAACAAATAAATTAGTGAGGATTGAGAAATTATTAGGAATAGTGTCATAAAAGCATGAGATGTAATAGGATATTTATTATTTAATTAATAAAAGAGTTTATTCATCATTTTATGTGCATATATTTATGAATATTTTATGAATATCAAATGAAAATTTCGTGATTGTTTATGTAACCTTAAACATAGTATATAAGTGTTATATACGAGAGGATAGTGTTTAAGGATAATAATAAAAAAATTGTTCATGATGAATTTAATTAAAGTTCAGAATCTTTAATTAAAACATTATTAATACATGTCATTCCCATTTAGAATGGAACGGTATTATCCGCACTGTTAATATGGTGAGATATTGAATGAGTGTATTTCGCATAATAAGATTATGTGGAACAAGGACACAGACACAATATGAATTTCTAATAATTTCCGTTAAGCATAGAAATTCTAATTGAGTCTACCGATGGTCATATATAGGATGATCTTAATCCTGAGTTCTTAACAAACTCCTATTTATGGATTTATGTCTTTTGATTTACTCGGTACAGATTCTGAGACCCTGAATCCTATTCCTTGTATTTTGAAGACATAATGAAATAGGTAGCTGGGAATGTTATTATACGAGATGGAATCCATTCCTTCTTGAGAAAGAAGTAGATAAATAATTCTCTTGAGTGTTGATTCGGTACTTGGATTAGTAAGAGCGCTCTGGTTCATGAATGTGTTTTATGAATCACCATCCATTAGAGAATCAATGGTACTCAAGGATGTAGAT